ATCAGAATCTGCAAAGTAACACAAATAAATGTAGTAGAGTAAAAATACCAGGTTGACCTCTGAATTGTAGTGGAGTAGAACAAAACATGCTGCTGTAACAAAAACATTTCCCAAATTGGGATCAATAAAGTATCTTATCTTAAGATGATCGATGGCAACTGCCATATTTGCTAAATGTGCATCTGAACCTTGACAAGTGCATGTTTCAGGCTTATCAATTAACAACAGGAGGGGTCACAGACATAAGACCAGCTGTTAAATAAAGCTCTTCTGACCTTAGCTGTCATGTGGGTATATTAATGCTGCCCATTATGGGCACAAGCAATTTTCACCCATGTATTAATTATATGTTTTAAATTTGATAACACCAATGTGTTTCGTATCCCCTAAACCTCCAGGGATGTATACAGTTTAATACTGGCAACTTCTAATTGTGGGAAATACGAAAACGTCTTATAAAACTACAATTCCCAGTAGAGACGTGCCATAGAACATATTGCGAAACACACAATAGCCAGCATGTGTAATTCTGTGGGGGAGGGCTGGGCTGGACCCGTCCAAGTCCAGTTTTGGATAGTCTGGCGTGGTTCCATTCCATTTCAAAGAGCTGTTTGACATTCGGCGTAACCTTGTCGCACTGCCACTCCAACATCCAATCACAGAGCTTGAGGGCTAATCACGGGGTTTGTAAAGCAAGGCGGATGTTGTAGTCCCAAACGATAGCTGGGGATTCTGGGTAGTGTAGTGTCTTCGGAAACTCTGTAGTGTCTAAACTCCGAAAAAACTATTTGTTTCTCCGAATCGAAGGTTAAAAACACAAAAGCATTGTACACAATTTAAACCAATCAATAGTGTGTAATTAACAAGGATAAACTGATGTTTTTAAGTGGATGAGTAATGGAGATCATTTGATAGTGTGGGGAATACTTCCGGTTTTATTATGAAAACTTCGAGACCGAAAATACTGTTTTCACCCATGCTAACTTTACATGGAAGCTGCCCCATATACAGTACACGTTCTCCTGGCGAGACCCCTCAAATTATCTTCGTATATCTATCAAACTGTAGATCCTACACATCCACTGGACGTAGATTATAAAAGTACAATATACACTTCTCGCTAGAAATCTAATAAAAAAGCATTTTAATGGCCAAACTATTCCACAATTTAGGATTTTCCAGAGGGTAATTTGTGAATAAACGACCCTCCGGAGCGTTTGCAATCGACAGGAGCATGTTGTTTCTTACACGACCACTAGAGGTGCTGCACTTTAAAACGTGACTCTGGGTCGTATTTAGCTGCTGAACAATCGACCTATATGGTCGTTTTTTGTAGGAGGACAGGCTGCTTCTCTCTCACTGCCAGTGGTGCAATGTGAATAAATCCACAAAATTGCACGCACCATTTATCCTTTTCAATGAGCTCTATCGATATACACCATCTTGCAATCTTTCATCAATCTGAGTTAAAAAAAACCTCTCTTTTTCTATTAAAGCATGTTCCTCCTAGTTGTCCAAATGTACCACATATCAGTGCTTCTTAGCCTGCTGTGGGTTATTGTCGAGTCTCTAGTTTGTAATTTAAGTTTGCCCTGAAACCCAGAGAGAATAATAACCTTAAAGTACTTGTGGAAAGTAGTCTATTGGTGTGTGCAATCTGATTTGTCAGGTGCACAAACTCGTTTTCCAGAGCATATGTCCTCACTGTAGCATCAAAGTAAAATGTAGTTGTTGAGTACATGTGATCTTAAGTTTTCGACATTTAGAGACTTCTTTGCATTTATCTATCTGTGAAAGTCTTCTTAGAATATACGTTTATTGGCCTTCAACTTGTCGAAATGAGATTATTTTTATTTTTGTGAGAGAACCGTTCTCAGTTGCTCTCCCTGAAGTTTCCTAGATCTTTCTCCCCTGTTATTATCGGGGTAGTTTTTCCTGTCCACTGCAAGATATCAAGGACAAAGAGTGTTTTAGGCTGCAGATTGTAAAACCCCCGGAGCAACATTTGTAATTTGGGATATTGGGCTATATAAAGTTTATTTGATTGAAGAGCAATTGAAATGGGTCGTTCTTTTGGCCACATTCTTCATATTTTATTTGGTCAGCAAAGCAAGCAGTAGCAAAATACTATTCTTTCGGGAATAGTGCATGTATGTGTATTTGTTTGCACAGTCTGTGTATGTTTGACAGGTTTGGAACAAACAAAAATAGCTTGTAATCATTTAAAATCCAAATTATGACCAATGACTTATGAACAAGCTGTGCCGCTCTATTGCTTTTTTGAATTTCAAAGACTCTGTAAAGAGGTTCAAGCTTGAGTTATATGTAGTAGGAGTATGTAACAAGGCAGTAAACACAGTCGCACAGCCCAGGGCAAAACACTAGGGAAGAGTTTTGTTCCGAAAATACAATAGGAGGTTTAGAAAGTGATCTGAACATAATAATGCAGGCAGGACAGAGATATGAGCTCATCTGTCTCTCTCTACATTTGTCTACTTCTGTCTCTTCTCTCTGTTTCTTTGTTTTCTCTGAGGTTTGACCTGGATCGGCCTCAATTTATTTTTCCTCCTCACTTCTTACAGTACAGTACTTTTCCTGTGATTCCAGTATTGGTGCGTGGGTTGGTTCACAGTGGGCCCCATATGTTTTGTGTGGTACCACTTAAGTACAAACACATGTTCTCGTTGCAGGAATACAGATATATAGCTATTTAAAACCATTCAAATCACAATGCAAATTAGCAACGTTGGCTCAAGCTATAGACACCAGTGTTTCATAACATAAAAACACAAATATCAGTTTCGAACATCATTATCTTAATCATTGCTGTGTAATACAGAGTTTCAAAGTGTCAAAACTTCCGTTGAATGGCTGGTAGAGAAGATAATGGTCGATTCTTAAGTATTTTATGGACCTAAACATAAGATAGAAAGAAGAATATTTCAGTGGCTTTTAGTCTAGATGCAAGACAAATACTGCGAAAGTATAAAAAAAATTACAGAGCCCATGTTAAGAAAATCTGACTTTAAACACTCCATCCAAACCCTTCTTGGTTTGCGATGTAACTGTATACACATATCCCTAGAAAGTGGCACTACTGTACATGACAGTCACTTTCGTCTGACCACTCTGGCTGCAGACTTTCAGGGAGTGGAGCTAAAAAGAGAGGCGCTAAATAATATTGAGCATGTCTGACAGTATGAGAACAGTTTTTTTCTTTTTAACTTTCAAGTATGTACAAACAGTATGTTCTAGTATAAACCCAAAATATATTTATAAAGCAGAAAATGAGCATAACATGTCTCTTTAAATATAAAGGGGTCAGTATCAATACATGTTTGTATTAGAGCATCTGTCACATTAGGTTTTTCAGTGTCCTATATGAAGTTTCCAGATTGGTTTGTTTGTTCCTCATCAGGCGAATGTGAGAAATAGTGGTTCAAATCAATCAAGATAGGTCGAAGGGTGTACAGAACCTAATCACATGGTGGATACACAAAATATATTTCGGTAATGGAAACAGCCTTGGTGGAGGTCTGCTCGATTCTATTAGACCGTACCTACAGTCAAGTAACTTGGAGAGAGTCCGAGTCCGACCCTTGTCAATTAACTACAGTGGTCCCTCAGGGCTCTGTTCTTGGTCCCCTCCTCTTCTCCTTGTACACAAACTCGCTCAGATCTGTCATTAGCCCGCATGGTTTTTCATACCACTGCTACGCTGACGACACCCAATTCATGCTGTCCTTTCCCCGCTCAGAGACCCAGGTCGTCGCACGCATCTCTGCTTGTCTAGCGGATATCTCTCAGTGGATGTCTGATCATCACCTCAAGCTCAACCTTGACAAGACTGAACTGCTTTTCCTTCCGGGAAAAGATTGTCCCACTCTTGACCTAACAATCAACATCGGCACCTCTGTTGTTTCCCCGACTCAGACTGCAAGGAATCTGGGTGTGATCCTAGATAACAAACTGTCCTTCACTGCAAACATCGCTGCTACAACCCGCTGCTGCAGATACACGCTTTACAACATCAGGAGGATACGTCCCCAGCTGACCCAGAGAGCGACGCAGGTTCTGGTCCAGGCTCTCGTCATCTCACGCCTAGACTACTGCAACTCCCTCCTGGCTGGTCTACCTGCATGTGCCATCCGACCTCTGCAGCTCATCCATAATGCAGCGGCTCGTCTGGTCTTCAACCTTCCTAAATGTTCCCACACCACGCCGCTCCTCCGCTCCCTTCACTGGCTTCCGGTAACTGCTAGAATCCACTTCAAGACAATGGTACTTGCGTACCATGCTGCGAATGGATCTGGCCCTTCCTACATCCAGGACATGGTTAAACTGTACACCCCAGCACGTGCACTCCGCTCTGCATCAGCCAAACAGCTCGCTGCACCCACACTGCAAGGGGGACCCAAGTTCCCATCAGCAAAAACACGTGGGTTTGCTATCCTGGCTCCAAAATGGTGGAATGAGCTCCCCATTGAAATCAGGAAAGCAGATAGCTTGCACATCTTCCGGGGGAGACTGAAAACTCATCTCTTTCGACTCCACTTCGAGCGATAGAATTACTAACAAATAATTGCTAACAAAGCACTTATATACTAATAAAGGGCTGGCTTATCTAAAGCCAGTTGAGTAGCACTTGAAATGTTTTAGCTCAATGAAACCTGATGTACTTATGATTCTGTTTTCTTCAAGTTTGTATCTTGTTGGTCGAACGCACTTATTGTAAGTCGCTTTGGATAAAAGCGTCAGCTAAATGCAATGTAATGTAATATTGAATATTTCTTTTTTTCATGCAGATTTATCGTTAACATCTAAGAAGTGCTTTCAAAAACAGCTATAGATAATTTATCCTCACAAGAAATATGAAGTGCTCTTCATTTATTAGAAAGGGTTAGGGGTAGTAAAAACAAAGGGGAACGTTGACAACTGCTTGGGGCAAAGGCATCTTTTTCTAACTTCCTCCATCTTTATCGCCCTTTGTCTTCTCACAG